CCCTCCCCTACGTTCACTCCTCTCGCCAGAGGTCTCCAGGTCCTCCCCCCCTTTCACTTGGCCTCCCTGCGCACCCCTCCTCTTCCTTTGAGAAGTGTGCATTTGGGGGCTCATCTCATGGAAGTTGGGGGGGCGTCCTGGCTGCGCTGATGAGGGGGGGGTTGGGGAGTGCAATGTGCCCTCAGCCCCCACCCCTTGAGGCTAGTCTGGGGCCAAACCCCTCCCCAGGAAAGAAACTAGGCTGGAAGCTTCAATGGGCTAGTTCTTAGCCCTCCCAGGGTGTGGGGGGCTAGTGCCCCCAGCCGGGACCAGGGTCTGCCCTGCCGCAGGACTTCCCATCAAGGGAGGCCTCCTCTGGCCACCGTGATTAAGAGCCAGACTGGCTGAATGTGAGTCCCAGCTTTATCACACAGTTTGCTGTGTGACCTTGGGCAAGTAACTTCCGTCTCTCTGAGCATAGTTCTTCACCTGTAAAATGGGGATAATCACAGCAACCTCTTCGGGTCATTGTGAAGGTAAAATGAATCGACTGTCCACAGTGCCCAGTACACTGCGCTCTGCACATAGAAGTCTCGTCAGCACTGGAGACAGACAACTAGGCATTCTGGGGCTCACCGTGAGCAAGGGGCAAGCGAGGGGGAGGAAGCTCATGGCAGAGGAGGGGTGAGCCTGAAGGAGGAGAGGCATTTGGGGAAGCGGTAGCTCTCCACCTCGGCTTCACTGGGCAGCGGTCCAGCTCTGGTTCCTTAGGTGAGAGCACGGCAGGGCCCCTCTCGGTGGGGGTGGAAGACAGGAGTCAGAATGGACCTGAATCTCTGAGCTGCAGGAGAACGGAGCATGGGGCGTCCAGACAGCTGTGGAGGGGACTGTGATGGCAGGCCTGAACCTGTGCATTTGTGTCCCTGGGGCCCCCTGTTCCTCCCTCCTCCAAGTCAGGCCGCAGCCATTCTCGGCTGGGTCTCTGGAGAACTGAGCTCCCTTGCCCAAGCAGGCACTGATGCCTTGAGGGAGTCTGGACCAGGCTGATGTTGGTGCCACTTGGATTTCAGACAACTGCAGCATTGAGGATTCAGCTTACATCCGGGGCAGAACTTGCTCTGACGATGTCTGACCTGCCTAAGGTCTTGGTGACTTTGGTAATTCCAGGGGCCCCCAGCCCACTTACCAACCGCCACGTGTCTCCTTGTGTGGCCTGTAGAGATGGACCCTCTGTGAGTAGGAGAAGGGGGGCTTGAGGGAGCCCTTTCCTCTGCAGAACTGAGCAGGGGCCTAGGACTCTGTGCCCTGGCCTCCCCTGCCGGGTCTTTCCTGACCCTAATCACCCAGGTCTGAAGATTGCTGTTCCTGGATGAGCGGGTCCTGAATCCAGCTTAGGAAACTATTTGTGGCTGAAGGGGAAAGAGGAGTTGTCTTCTGAGCCCTCTGCTCCTGCCCCCTTGTTCTGGCTGACCCGGGGCCCCAAAGCCTCAGCCCTCCCTGGCAGAAGGGAGGGGGTGCAGTTCTGAGCCTTGTGTGAATCCCCTGCTCCTCGCCTCCTCTCAGGACAACAGGAGAGGATAGATTGAGCTTGCACTAGGACCAACAAATCAGATGGCAAGAAGTTGAGACAGGTGGGAGGAAGGGCCCTGAATTGCATCATGGGGGCTGGGAGGTGGGTCACTAGGCTCCGTCCAGCCCTGTCACCTTGCCTCCCTCACTCCGTGTCCTATCTCGCCATTTCTGGACTAGTATTTCTTTGAAGACTCCCTATGCACAGGATGAGGCTGGACACTGCTCACTTCAGCCCCTCCCTCTCTCCTCCTGGGCAGCACTGTCACAGGCCCCTTCTCAAACCTGTGTGGTCCATGCTGGGACCCTGAGGTGACTGTCAGGGCTTCCTGGAGGGGGCTGCCTGAGGTGTGGGAAGAGGCAGGCCTGGGAAATTGGGAATAGGACTTTCCGTTCACTTCCTCTTCCTGCCCCAGAGGAATAAGAGGTAGCCCAGGGCCTCGGGTGACTTCCGCGCCTCACTGGGCCACCAAGGGAGGCTGTGATGCCTCGTGGGCAGGCTGAGTGCACCAAGCCGCCGGGTACACCTCTCTCTTCCTCCGTTGGTGACCAGGGCCTCCCAGGCACTTTTAGTTTCCGCTGCAAGAGCAGTGAAGACTGTCACCTTCCCCAGCTGCCTCAGCAGGGTCCACTGCCACTCCTGGTTCCCCCTCGGCCTTACCCTGCACGCCCTACTGTCCCCCTGCCCTGATCCACACACCTGCCACGCCCACCTCTGGCCAGGCTATGAGTAGGGGAACACTCAATCTTGGGGCTGGCTCAGAGCCACAGCTGCATAGATGATCCCTAAGGGACCTTCCCTCTCCTTGGTGAGACTTCTCCCTACAGTAGAGGTCAAGAGAGGGTGGGTGCAAAGTTGGCCCCGCCCCTCCAGTATTCCAGGCTCCTTGGCTGGCTGGCTCTCCGGCTTGAGTTAGCAGAGCTTTGGCTAAGCTGCTTACATGAGCTGGACTTGCATAAGCTGCTTATAGGGATAGGTGGGGGTGGGGGCTGCTGGGAGGCTGCTCTGAGGAGAGGATGGGAAAGTGGTTCATCTGCCCCAGTGCCATCCACAATGGGAAAGTCCCCTCAAGACCGGCATTGGCCTGATGCATGTACAGATAGTACCAGGAGCGCCCTCCCAAAGCGCAGCTGTGTCACCCCTTCTGAGTGAGGGTCTTCCCACTTGGGCTGAGAGGTGCACGTCAGACAGGAGACTCCGGCGTGGGAAGGAGGGTGTGCTGGACATGACTTTGTCCTCCAGCCCTCTCTGACCTACCTGCCCCAGACTGCTTCCCACAGGCCACTAGGATGAGACTGCGTCCCCCCATTAGACCCCCCAGTGGCAGAGCGATGTGTCTACCACACTGGGGGGCTCTCCCAGGGCAGGGTCTCCATTATTTGGGGGAGGGTAATAATCCTTAGAGTCAGAGAGAACTAGCTGGGGGTCCCCCGGAAGCTGAGCTGGTGGGAGGAGCTTTGGAGGCGCCTTCCTTGCTCAGTGGCCTGTCTCCCCCAGACTACTTGTGCTCCCCCGAGGAAAATATCTACAAAATCGACTTCGTCAGGTTCAAGATTCGGGACATGGACTCAGGCACTGTCCTCTTTGAAATCAAGAAACCACCAGCCTCAGGTGAGAGGGATGGGCAGACTGTCCAGGGTGGGAGGTGGGCAAGCAGCGTGCGAGGCTGCCCATGGAATCTCGTGGCCACGAGTCAGAGCTAAGCTGGGGTTTGGAGAATCTCCAGGCAAGTAGTCTTCTGTGCGTGGGTCCCCATTTCTTTCCCATCTGTCTTGGGAGGACAGCCCTGCCCCTTCAATCCCCGCCAGTCTGCCCCCTGCAGGCCACCTTGGGAAAGGCGGTCCCAGGGCCCCTAGGCTTCAGGGCTCCCTGTGACCTAGGAGCCAAACTAGCCATTCGGCCTAGAACCCGGTGGCCGAGATCGCTGGCCTAGAACCCGGTGACGGGCCCATTCAGCCAGTGCTCTGCACCCTCTCTGCGCTGCAGAATCTGCTGGAGAGGTTTAAAAAAAAATACTGCTGGGGCCCCCGGGGAGATCCCTGGGTGGACAGGGGCCCCAGCCTGAAGCCCACTGAACCCCAGTTGGGGTGCATTGCAGAACGGCTGACAATCAACCGGCGGGACCTGGACCCCAATGCCGGGCGCTTTGTCCGCTACCAGTTCACGCCTGCCTTCCTCCGCCTGAGGCAGGTGGGAGCCACGTGAGTCACGGGGCCACCGGGCAGGTGTTGGGGGCCGGGGCGGGGCCGGGAAGGAGCGAGCCCTTCCTGAGCCGGGCTGCCTGACTTCCAGGCCAGGCTCAGCCTTGGCCCCGCCCCCCGACCCCTGGCCCCTCTCAGGGTGGAGTTCACCGTGGGAGACAAGCCGGTCAACAACTTCCGCATGATCGAGAGGCACTACTTCCGCAACCAGCTGCTCAAGAGCTTTGACTTCCACTTCGGCTTCTGCATCCCCAGCAGCAAGAACACCTGCGAGCACATCTACGACTTCCCTCCGCTCTCGGAAGACCTGAGTGCGTGGGCAGCGGGGCGAGGGGCGGGCTCCCTTTTCCTCCCACCTGGAGTTCTCTTTTGAGTCTGGTGACGCCAGATGCCCCGGCCACCGTCCCACTGTCACTTGCAGGGAAACTGAGGCTAGGGGAGCTGTCTGGGTGGATCTGGATAAGCTGTCACTTTGCTTATCCCCTCCTGGGGCCCCTTGAGTGTCCTGGCTCCGGCTCCTGACCTTGGCCCTCCTGGCCGGGCCTCTCTTGCAGTTAGTGAGATGATCCGCCACCCGTACGAAACGCAGTCTGACAGCTTCTACTTCGTGGACGACCGGCTGGTGATGCACAACAAAGCCGACTATTCCTACAGCGGGACGCCCTGACCCTCCCAACTGCCCCCTGCCCGCCGAGGCTCTACACTGGGCCTCTGACTAGGGCTTGCTCAGCACCCACCTCTGGAACCCAGGGTCTCTGCCCGGGAAGCGCTCCAGGGCCCGTTCCCTGAGAACAGGGAGCCTCAGTCCCAGCTTCATGAAGCCCAAGGGACCTGGGACCTGGGGTTGGGGTAGGGGGTTTGTTAACGTCCATGTCCAGGAAAGCTTCCTGAGAGCCTCGCTGGCCCTCTCGGACCCAGGTTTCTGAATAGTGCCCCCTGTCCAGGCTGTGACAGGGCCAGAGCAGGGAGTCCTGTCCCCTACCTGCCACCCCCACAGACGAAGCTCCTTGGGGGAGTCTGACCACCAGACTTCACCAGAGCCTGGGGCTTGGCCCCAGCTGCCACCATCCAGTGCTGAGACACTGCCTGAGGTGTGGGGAGGGGACCAGTCCAGCTTGTCGTCTGTGTAGGGGCTGGAGCAACTGTATATAGTTTTCAATAAACTCTTCTTTTTCTCTTCTCTGGTTGTGGGCCCGTGTTGCGTGACTGTGGGGAGTGGGCCCCCTGGTGCCTTTGGACCTCAGAGTCCTCGTATCTCCTCATCCTGTGCGCTTTGCCCCCACACTCCACATTTACCTGGGGCGGCTGGGAAGCCTTTCTCCTTTGATAAAGAAGGAAACTCAGGCTCTTCAAAGGGGAGAGTTTGGCCCAGAGTGAACAAAGACAGGGCAGAGACGTCCAGGGCAAGAGGGTCTGGGTGGTGGCAGGAGGTGACTTTGTTTATTCTACTTGCCCAGACTCCCAGAGGCCACTAGGACCAGTGGGCTGTGCTGCTAGCCACTGGGGAGGGTAAACAGCTTTGCCGGACGCCTAGAGCTGCTCTGGGAGCTCCTTGGCTCTATCAGCCCTGCCCCCGGTCCTTCTCTCCCAAGCGCAGATGCAGAGGAAGGTCAGGGACTGAGGCAGGTGGAGAGCTGCCCTCCAGGTTTCCCTCCACCCTCCACTGAGTTCTGGGGACGCTGGAATTCAGCAGAGTTCTGGGGAGCCCCTGCCGGGTGTCGGGACCAAGCTGAACTTGGAATTCTCAGTTGTGTGAACCATCGTCCCTAGGATGAGTCAGACTGGACACGGAGGGAGAGTTTTGTTTGGAGAGTTCTGGGAAGGAATCTTGGAGGAGGCGGTCTTGTATCATCAGGGGCCTTGGTCAATCAGGACTTGGACCAGAGACCAGGGCAGAGGGACCGCAGGGCACAGGAAAGGGCATAAGCAAAGGCTTAGAGGCAGGGACAGACAGGCTGAAGGAAGAGGACTCCAGGGTGCCTTAGAGCTTGAGAGCTGGGGCTGCCCCTGAGGAAGGTGGGAGCCGCTGGGGAGGGTGAAGCAGGACTTACCTGCTCAGAGGACGTCTGGCTGATGGGTGGAGGTGGACAAGAGAGGATGGGTTTAATAGTAGTCAATATTGACTGAGTGCTTGACGGGTTGCAAGTGGTTAATGTGTTTGGCTGCTGTTGGAGGTTCCAGTTCACCCCGAACCTCTCAAGAAACACCTGGGCATGTTCTGGAAAACCAGGTGTGGAGAACGATTCCACCTTGACCCACATGGTGGCACCATGTGTCGGTATCAACTTGACAACTCTCTTTCTAAACCTGTCTCAACTCATAGAAAGCTTCCCATCGTTTCTGAGCCAGGCTTTCCATCATTAGGCCTCTTATGTAAAACTCTTTGGACCTGTCAGGAGAGACCAGTCCCTGGAGAAGGACAGCATGCCTGGTAAAGTGGAGGGGCAGTGAGAAAGGAAGGCCCTGTACAAGATGGACTGACACAGTGCCCGCAGCAATGGGCCCCGCACAGGGCTCTGCCGGGGTCCCCTTCTGCTGTGCATCGGGGCGCCGCTGTGGTTCGGAACCAACTCAACAACATGTAAACTTCAGGAATAGAACGGCTGAGCGGCTCGGCCACACTGGCAGTTATTAAGAGGCAGTGATAAGACTGGAATCCAGGCAGACCAGTGGCAGAGTCCGGGGACTAAGCGGCCCAGAGCCGCGGTTCTCAACCTGTGGGTCCCGACCCCCTTGGGGGTCAAACAACCTTTTCACAGGGGTGACCTGATTCATCACAGTGGCAAAATGACAGTGATGACGTAGCCACGAAAATAATGTGACGGTTGGGGGGTCACCACCACATGAGGAACTGTATGAAAGGGCCGTGGCGTTAGGAAGGTTGAGAACCACTGGCCTAGAGGCAGTGAGTGGCTAGTGAGGCAACCGGTGTAGGAATCCAGGTACGTGATGGAATGCACCTGAGTGAGGTCACTATCCCTGGAGACAGAGAATCAACGAGGCTGAGCTTCGTAAGGGGGGAGATTCCCAAGAATGGATGAGGAGTTCGGGGAGAGGGATTCAGTGGAGATGGAGCCCCTGCATTGTTCCTGGGCACTGGGCTGCCTGAAGGTGCTATCACTGGACTTGGGAACCAGGTCAGGTCCGAGTGGGCATGAGTGATGATGAGCTCAGGTTGGGACTTGCCATGGATGGCACGGATGCCTGCAGGAGCCGGCCAGGATGCAAGCAAAAAGGGACCAACGGCTGGCAAACACTGGCTCCCAGAGGATTGCCGGAACTGTGACCATGAGATTGTTGTGAGCCCCCACTCGCTTTTCACGAGCAGACAGCATGTTATGCATTGAATTATGGGACACACACACACACACACACACACACCCGCACCCTCGCCAAAGAGGTGTTGTAAGTCCTAATATCTGCCTGTGGTTATAATCCCATTTGGGAATAAGTTGTTTTTGTTACATTCACGAGACAGGATTGGTGGAGGGCATAACTGGAGTCCATTGGTTTTTGAGATATAAAGGAATAAAAAAGAACAGTGAGCGAGATGGGGTCAGGTAGATGCCAAGACACATAGAGAAGTCTCAGGCATCAGGAAGCAAAAGCTAAAGAGACCGGGACCTTCCTGGGGACAGAGAGAGTCTTCCCCACAAGCCAGGGCTCTCGCTGCCGCCTAACTGTGAGAAAGTAAATACGTGTTTGAAAAACTGGGCGCTGGTGGTAAGTCTGTTCCAGCAGCACCGGGCAACCAGACCCAGGGTCCTGCAAGACAGTGCCAGCAGTGCCTCCCTCGGGTCCCTCAATGGGAGAGGGCGAACATCCCGGCCGGAGGGGGAGGTAAGCAGGGAGGCAAGCTGGAGGGGATGCCTGGGGGCGGGAGGAGAGGCTCCATCTGGAGCCGGCTGTGCCAGAAACTAAGGGGGGCAAGTGGTTAGCAAGTGGCAGTCGCTGGGAAAGTGAGGCAGGGGCATGTGAGCGGGAGAAGGGCTGGTTGGGAGAGGAAGTAGGCCAGGTATACAGGTACGGGGTTTTGTGATAGCACAAACCACCAGAGAAGCTCTGGCGAGGCAGAGGGACCCGCCTGTGACCCGCTGACAACAGCACAAACCACCAGAGAAGCTCTGGCGAGGCAGAGGGACCCGCCTGTGACCCGCTGACAACATCCCTCGCCGCCGCAGCGGCAGAGTAGAGCCAGCTTGGGGTTCCACCCTCAGGCAAGGACAGAGGCTTCTTTCTGGTTTAAAGCCACATCCCGGAGAGCAGGTGCCAGGCTGGAGCTCACAATGAGGAGAGGCCTGTCTCCTGTGGGCCTGGAGGCGGCCCAGCTGAGGAAGGCCATGGTCCCCTGCCTCCTTTTAAGTCTCCATGCCTCTGGCACGGGTCCTGCTGCTAATGGGGTAGCTTGCTGCGTTTGCTTCCGGCACATTCCCCAGGAGCCTGGAGAATCCCTGGGCAGACGAAGGCGGGAGAGACCGGGTAATGGTGGGGTTCTTCCTGACTCTGATGCTCCTGAGCCGTCGGCCTGGAAGGGCAAAGCTCTTGACAGCTCTGGACCTCAGCTTCTGTCTCTGGAGTGGGTCAGGCATTACTGCTTTGGCTCTTTGGGGGTGTATGAGGATCCTGCTTCAGGACCGACCGAAAATAAACCCAAAGCAAACCCACAGGCAGGCAGTCAATTTCAACTCCTAAGGATGCAAAAGGACAGAGCAGAATTGCTCCCTTTTGTTTCTGGACGCTTTACAGGAGGTGGTTGGTGGATTTGAACCACAGACCTTGTGTTTAGTAAGCCCAATGCTGACACCACCAACAGGAGAAACCAAATACTATGAAGAATCCACATCTCATACCCTCTACAGGCTGGCCTGCCAGGGACACAGTGGGGCTGCCAAACCAGTGGTTAGGAATGGCAATACCCACCCAGTTAGAGCTGCTATCCCAGCCCCTAAGCACCCTCCGGCTCCCTGTGCTAGTCCCGGTTGACTAGGGAAACAAATTCCGAGACACTCCTATATGTAGAGCAAAGAGCTTTATATCAAAGAGTAATTGTATATGAAGAAAACATCCCAGCCCCATCCAGAGCAAGTCCGTAAGTCTGACATTAGCCCATATATCTGCTACTAGTCCATAAATTCCTCCTCAGACTCACGTAGCACATGCAATGATGCCGAATGTAGGAAGCTCACAGGCCAGTGGGTGAAAGTCTTGTGGCTCCAGTGGCGGTGGAAGCATCTCAGGGCTGGTGTGCTGCTCCTCCAGCTCCGAGTGTGGCTCCTCACGGCTTGTCGACAGGGAGGTAAAGCAGAGAGCGTGAGGCCGGCCTCTCAGGAGAAAGGGAGGAAGTTCCCAGAATCTTCATGAGAAGTCCACACCCACAAGGAAGGAAGCATCATCGGGCTGAGACCTAATGGACAGGTTAGATACCACCCCTTCACTCTATTTATCAAGTTGATAAGAAATCACGTAACTACCACACTCCCCTGAGCCCCACCCTCCACTGCCCCGATATCTGGCAACTCGAGTGAAGGTACGGTTCCCTTCTTACGGTACCAGGGACCCTTTTGGGGGTCTGCTGAATCTTTGGTTATATAAAGCTTTTTTTTTTTGTAATCAAGTTTCAATACCAATTTCAAGAAGACTTGGTGGGGACAGAGAAACAAGGTAACCAATCTACAACAGCTGGTCTTGCAACGTTAGATGTTGTTAGATGCCATCAAATCAAGCCTGACTCTTGGCTGTCTTACATACACCAGTGAAGCGCGGCCTGGGCCTGCACCATCCTCACCATTGTGCGCGTCTTGGCGTCCCTGTTGCAGCCTCCAGGCCAATCCAGGGCCTGACCAAGTCTGATGTCCTTCTTCAAGGACTGGCTTTTCCTGGTACCGTTTTTAAAGCATGTGAAGCAATGTCTCACCACCCTCACTCTCACGAGCATTCTTATGTCGTATGAAGCAGCACACTTACATAGTTGTGGCAGCTCGATTTTATGTCAACTTGAACCGGTGTGAAAGTGGAAGGGTGGAGTCCAACCCTATCATTCAGGTCGCCACCTGATGAGGTCATCTTGGGGGACACTGGGAACGGCTCTCTCTGGCCCTTGGCCCTCTGCTTGCTGGGACAACGTGTCTGCCTTCAGGGACAGCCCCATGTAGGTGGACATGCTCCCACCAACCTCGGTTC